ACGGACTATCAATTATCAAGTACCTAAGCACTGCATCAAGCCAGTTAACGGTCACTGTCCCTGAGATTTACCTTAATCTCACCCCTTTCAAAAGTCATTAGAAATTTGCTTTGACAACCCAACTTTTTACACCTCCTCCCATGAATGACCATGTTATCAACCGTTGGTATTTGTCTGAACCGTTGACCATGGAGGATAGTGAGAACTGGTGATTTTTATTGCCAATCACATCCTAGTAAGACAACGCACTATGGCTTGTATGAATGGTTGGTTATGCCTGAGGGTCTCAACTCAATTATGATACCCATGATAAGAAACTTTTAGCCATCCATGAAGCTTTCTGTATGTGGCGACACTACCTTGAAGGCTCCACTGAGCCAATATACATTGTCATGGACCACAAGAACCTTGAGTACTTTGCTACGACAAAACTCCTCACCCACTGACAAGCCCGCTGGTCGGAATACCTTCATCAGTTCAACCTCATTATCTGTTTCCAATCCGGAAAACTCGGAGCAAAGCCTGATTCCTTAACTAGATGCTGGGATGTCTACCTCAAAGAGGGGGATAAGGACTACGCTTGAGTCAATCCACACAACCTCCAGCTGATATTTACCACAGAACAGCTTGCTTCGTCCCTCTGGGCATCACACCTAGCAATTCCGGTGCTCTGGGCAGCTGTACTGATGGATGTTAAGCAACTCCATAAGGACATTTTGTCCGCCCTCCCCAATAATCCTATCACTTCCGCTCATCTTCTGGATTCATTGGACCCGAGATGGACAGTGGACAAAAGTGGTTTTCTTCGTTGTGACAACCATATCTACATTCCAGAATCCAATGACCTCCGCCTTTGAGTGCTCTGGAATATGCACAACCACCCCCTAACCAGACATTTCGGTCAGAACCAGACCTTGGAAATTATCCATTGGGAATATACCTGGCCTGGACTCCGTGCATATGTCAAAGATTATGTCAAATCCTGTACAACATGCACCCGAGCCAAAGTTCTGAGACATAAACCATACAGATTGTTGAAACAACTCTCCATCCCAGAGAAGCCTTGGAATTCTATATCCATGGACTTCATTGAACAACTCCCTGATTCCTCTGGCTTCACCACCATTCTGGTAGTCATAGATTGACTATCCAAGCAAGCCATATTCATCCCAACCTACGACACCATCACCTCTCTGGATCTTGCTCAATTATTCCTCCTTCATGTGTTTTCCAAGCATGGAGTTCCATCCCACATAACTTCCGACCATGGCACAGAATTTGTTTCCCACTACTTCCATTCGCTTGGAAAAGCACTCGACATGATCCTCCATTTCACCTCCGGATATCATCCAGAAGGCGACGGACAAACTGAGCAAGCCAACCAAACCCTAGAACAATACCTCTGGATCTACTGCAACTATCAGCAGGATAATTGGTCAGAACTATTACCCTTGGCCAAATTCACATACAACAATGCTCCAAGTGCTACTACCGGAATTTTGCCATTCTTCGCCAATAAGGGTTATCACCTGCACATTTCGATACATCCGGAGTGTGATCTCTCCTCCACCCGTGCCTGGGACTATGCCATAGATTTAGATGAACTTCATCAATTCCTCCGAGAAGAAATGGCCCATGCCCAGGAACAATATCAAGGACCTGCAGACGCTAAATGGAAACCCACTCCGGATCTCAAAATCGAAGAACAAGTCTTTGTCAAAGCAAAGTACTTCCGATCCACCCGTCCATCCAAAAAACTCTCAGAAAAGAACTTAGGACCATTCAAAATCATAGCCTGTCCAGGTATGCATTTCTTCACCATCCGATGTCCGGATTCCATGTGCTCCAGTTGTAGGGACTGATTCCTGGCTAGGCTTGTAGAGACTGTTTTTACCTTATTATGTTTGCACTTTTGTAGCTTACATAATCAAGTTAGCTTTTCACCAGTTCCACTATGAGTCTGAGTCTTCAGCTGTTTTCTATCATATTTCCTCTCCTCTGAGCCTTGAGCCTGGTCCAGAAACCCTTTAGGGTCAAATAGCAGCTAGGTTCTGCAAGACCCAACACATTGTTCAGTATACACCATCTGAATTGTTGTACCCACACCGTACACCCAGTTTTCCATGTCTCCCAGTTAGAACCAGCATTTCCGAACACCATTCCTAATCATATCCAGCCACCTCTGCCTCCGGTCAAAATTGACAGATATAGCAGTTGTGAGTGGTTGATTAAGATGACAATTGAATGGATCAAACAATCATAAACAACAGATTTGGATTCTGTTATGATAACCACTCAGCTAGACACAGCTCTGATTAGCTTGCAAGCTGACTGATGTAGCACTCAGATTGGTGCTGGGCACATATCCTGCCAATCTCATAGGTGTCTCACATTACACTCCTCGACACTCCTCTTACCTTCCGAGAGTTCTGTATGTTCATCCAAGTCATCCAAAGGTTGACCATCCCCTTCTGAGGCCTGTATACACTTCTGATCCTCTGTACCATGTCCCTGTCCATGTCCGTTTGACTTCGCTGGTGCATTTTTCACTTGTTCATTCATTATTGATCATGTCTTAGGGGCACATACATTGTCAGCCCATCGAAAACTGGATTAATATGTATAGCTGCACGCCTCAGTGCGCTATTACATGCATATCTCTGTAGCGGCTCACCTTGAGTCTTATTACATTTTGGATAGCTTATCTTGCTACTGTTCTCGCCTACGCAGTTTCCAGACCTTCATGCTGTAGGATATAATCTGCCTCGCTAGCTACTTGCACTTCACTTCACTTCCCTTGCTATGAGTCATAGTTAGTAGAGTCACTTTTGGATAGTCATACTTCACGCAATTGATCTTTTGTTCATTTGGAACGATTGTTTGGCCAGACCGCTGCCATTTTGCAACTCACTATCTCTTAGTTCTTTCCATAGGCTTTGCTTAGTTGTGCTTCAGTACTTCCGCAAGTCTTAAACCTCGACATGCTTTGACATAACCGCCTGTACTTGACTCTTGGAAATCTCGCTGTAGGTGTGCTTTCATGGAATAAAAATAAAAATGTTATCATTGGCAGGTTTCAGACCTGCACTGTTCAAGAGAAACAGATTTTGACTCTGATGATCACTGGATCAATTTCATCTTTAGCAGGTTTTGAACCCACACAGACAGATTTAGATTCTGTTGTATCAACTGCTTGGCTGAGACCAGTCAGATTCACTTCCAATGAACCCAATGATTCAGAAGTGAGTCCTCGAGGTACATTTATCTGCATTTTGTCAGTTATTTCAATAGCATGATTACTGTTGATTCTTTTATAATGCTCTTATTGCAAAAGACACAGACTCCTGCTCCTGCTGGGGCTCTTAACTTCAAGACCTGTTTATCTAACAATTGCCCTGAAAAAGTGCTGATGGCAGACCCCCACAGTGGGCCCATGAGTGAAAACTGACATAATCTGTATAATGATGTGTATTTTGCATTAACTTGTGATTCATTATGTTCCACCATTTTGGATTTCATAGAATAAAAACATTGTTATTGGCAGGTTTCAAACCTGCACAGTTGAAGAGAAACAGATTTTAAATCTGGTGACAACTTGACCAAGACCAATGAAGATCAATGTCTGAGATGCTGTCCATGAGCAAATATTCAAGACACACATTCTTAGAGAAAAAATGTGACATTCAACAAGTTTCAAACTTGTTGCACTCTGATGGAAACAGATTTTTATTCTGGTATGACAGCCACTTAGCTAAACACGACTGTGATCAGCTTGCAAGCAAACCGACCATGAGCAGATTTCAAGGTGTGTTTTCATAGAAAATAAATTTTATCACTTAGTGGCAGGTTTCAAACCTGCGCAGTCCAAGAGAAACAGATTTTGACTCTAATGATCACTTGGCAAATTCATCTTTAGCAGGTTTTGAACCCACACAGACAGATTTAGATTCTGTTGTATTAGCTACTTGGCTAAGACCATTTGGATGTACTTTCAATAAATTCATTCAGAAGTGAATCCTCAAGGCACATTTATCTGTTGGGTTCCCTTTCCAAGCAAATTGTAGTGCTGCCAGTGAATTAAGGTGTGCCAACCAAAATTAGAAATTTCTGACAGAATACTCCAAAATATCTGACTGTTTCCATTTGTATTTGCTTGCACTTGGACCTCTGAGAATCTATACACTGCAAAAAAATTATGAGCAGGTTTTGAAGAAACAGATTTTGATTCTGTTGCAACATTAACAGGTTTCAAACCTACACAGTCCAAGAGAGACAGATTTTGACTCTGATGACAACTTGAATAAGACCAATTAAGATTGGTGTCTGAGATACTGTTTATGAGCAAATATTCAAGGCATGTTCTGATAGAAAAAATGCGACATTCAATGGGTTTCAAACCTAAGTGCATGAATTCACTGGATGCTGAGCTTTTATATTTTTGTACTGACATCAGGAAATATTGGGGTGTAATTGCATAGAATAAAAATATTACCATTGGCAGGTTTGAAACCTGCAAAGTACAAGACAAACAGATTTTGACTCTGATGATGACTTGACTAATGCTAATAAAGATCTATGTCTGAGATACTGTTTATGAGCAGATATTCAAGGCATGTTCTTATGGAAAAAATGCAACACTCAACAGGTTTCAAACCTGTTGCACTCCAATAGAAACAGATTTTGATTCTGTCAGGACAACCACTTGGCTAAAACACAACTCTAATGAGCTTGTAAGCAAATTGCAAATCGACCATAAGCATGTGTCAAGGTGTGGTTTTATAAAAAATGAATGTTATCATTGGCAGGTTTCAAACCTGCACATTCCAAGAGAAACAGATTTTGACTCTGATAATCACTGGCAATTTCATCTTTAGCAGGTTTTGATCCCACACACACACAGATTTGAAACAGATTTGGATTCTGTTGTAGCAACTGTTTGACTAACACCAGTTAGATCCATCTTCAAAGAAAACATTCAGAAGTGAATCTGCAAGGCAAGTCTACAGTTCCCTGTCACTCGCAATGTTTTTCCTCAGCTGAACAGATGAATTGAATACAGACTGCAATACAGCACTTTCAAAAAGCGAGAGGAGAGTTGCAGATGTCCTATTTGACTACTTAGTATTCAGATGTACAATTCAATGGAGAATGTACCACGAAACCTCCATAGAGGTAATAAATAACTCTATGACCTGACACTCGATATACACATGTTTAGCAACCTGAATGTTGGCAGGAACAGTGGTATAGTAGGTGCAGTCTCAAAGCTTGGTTGTCTTACCCTACTGTGTCCAAGTCCTGAGAGTCAAAAGGGTCTGATGCAGCTCTACTGACGCTATAGTTATGAAAATAGTCGATCTTGCAGGCTACAAACAATGGGAGTTAGAAATCAAGCATGTGAAGACCAAAGTAATCAGCTACTTACTTTCACAGTAAAAATGAGCAGCTTTAGCAACACATGGGCCACTTGCAAGTGTGAAAAGTACAACTTGCTGCTGCCACACCTTGTGGAGTGCAAGTCCTCGTTTCATACATGAACAGTCTGGTCCAGGACACATGCAGTAGGGTGGAAAAAGATGGATTTCAGCTATAAAATACACTCATCAAGAACAACAACACCATGACAATGACAGCAAGGACTCACCAATACCACACTGTTGACCCAGTCACTCAAATGTATCACCCATGTCTGACTTGTTGGAAACATTGCCAGTCCAGACGAGGGCCTTAAGCAAGGACCATGCGAGGTCAATGTCAGCATCATTGAGACTGCAACTGGCACCGAGAAATGTCTTGATTGCAGGCAATAAGACATTAGGTGGCTCATCCACAAGTGAGTTGATGGTAGTGTAAGGAGGATGTCATCCTTGAGTGCAAATGCAATGTTCATAAAGTGATATAGAGTGCAAAACAGTGTGGCATTGACAATAGACAGTTTCCTCTGCAGATGGCTTAATAGATCCATCGTTATCACCAACAATGAAAGATAGATTGTGACCGACAACTGTCATTGAGAGTCCACTGGAGTTTGCAGAACCCAGACAGCGGTAAAGGGAGTCAGCAGACAGACCTGGAAAATCCACATTCCAGATGTCCTCAGAAGGGGGGGTACCCCCCCCCCCCTTCCAGATTTAGATCGTTGTTCTAAGCAATATTTCAATGTCCGCGATGTCACGTGTCATACCACACAAACAAAGTCTGTGCTACATTCTGCACCAACCATGCTCCCATCCATGCAACAGCTTCATTTTCGATTTTTCTAGGCAATCACAGCGCACTTTCATGTGATGTGGCGAGGATAAGAAAGAATTTAGCCATCCTTATGATGCTTTTTGTATGTCCAAGTCTCCAGGATCTCTCTTTTATGCTAATTAGTGATCACTTCAGGTGTATGCTACATTCTGCACCATGTGCAATGTGCTATGCACTTTGCGATATATATACTGAGTAGAGCGCTTGCCAGGGAGTATTCAGATGTGGATTAGGAAGTAGGTCACCATGAATGAGATATCTTCTTGCTTGCAGCATTCGTAGCATGATTGTTCAGCTCTGACAAATACAAGGATGCCAATAGTTGCAATGAGCCTCCTCTGTAATTCATCGTCTTCATCATTTTCATCAGCCAGAGTGAGGGTTTCATCAGTGATGTTGTATGCCATGTTTAAAGTTTAGGAAGTATAATTAGATCATAAAGTTTACTTGACCATGTCCACAGTTTGGAACGAGTTTCTAGATATAAATTCCACCTTGCTGAACCTCCGAATTTTGAGGTTTAGAACAAAATCTAGAAATCCAAATCCCATGGAATGTCATCCAGTCTCTATTCAAAGTCTACTATTTATTACAGGTTATGAGCCCTGCTACTACCATTGATACAACACTCCCTGGCTCTTTGTCACTACATAATATCCCCCAGCTTGCTGACAATGGAACAAACTGTCATCCGTATACCAAAGGACACTTTCAGGCTCGCATTCCTCGAAAAATGTTTATGATATTCTGAGAACATCCATCACCTCAGATATGTTGCCTTCGTAAGATGAAACTTTAATCTGCAGGCGCCTCGAATGCGTTCATGCAGTCAGGAAAAAAGAGACCTCTCGTACCTGTGAAAATTCTTGGACTTTACCATCGGAGGAATAAGCAGTCACGGAATAAGTAGACTTAGTAGTTTCAGCCGTCTGAAAATTTGTGTAAGATAAAGCTCGCGTTCGTGATGTACGGAGTGGCATATTGCCAACGTTACTCTGATCCTCATCGCTGATGCGATGCTGCCCTGCCTTCAAACGCTGACCGGCGGCCGAAGGAAGAAGAAAAGGAAAAGGGCTCAGCTCAGCCTTCTTCCCCCTTATCCAGACCGTTCAGGTATAGGAATTCAAGTCTGTAGTCCGGTATCAACTTTCCATTCTTGCACCACCAAATTCAGGCCCACCTTCACATGCGATATGCAGGAATGCTGTCACCTGAGAGAGAGCTATGAATATATATTCTGCGGCAGTCCATCCGATATCGTTCCCCATTGGGTATTCATAGTAGTAAGCAGGCTGTGCTCATGAGGGGCGCTAAGCACTCAGGGTTGAAGCCAAGGATTGAGGAATGAAGGGTAATATTAGGTGGGAGTGAGGCTCAAGCTAAGTGTCGCATATGTGCGATGGCGAGCTCGAAACGAAAAGTAGAACTAGACATTGTGCTGTTGATCTTGACGGCCTGTCTACATATTCTCCTTCAGTAGAGATAGAACCTCGATAGCTACACCCCAGGATCTTTGGTAGCCCGTGGCTCTGAAACTGAAGGTTAGAACTCGCACGATTTTCGGAACGCATTCTCACCCCATTCCATATGCGTGGATAACCGTTATGTCCTGCTGTTGTTCCGCATCTCCGCCTGGATTGGGAGCCAAACCGTCACTTCGTACGAGGGGAAGCGAGATGCGCTCAGCTTCCACACGTGGACCGCCTTTCCTGTCCGGCCTAAGAGCGACGGTGTGCATAAGGATCTTCGTCCCTTCTTCTTTCAAACATGGCGCTATGACGGAGCACCGCTCCAATATTCCTTTTGCAGCCGACATATCCAAGGATGTGTCCCAGCTTCCTGCTTGATACGTTCCGTTTAGGGACGCGGTATTCATTTGCGTTAGCCCAGGGCGAGGAGTAATGGATGTGGGCAGCTCTGACAACCCGCCACCTACGTACAAGGCCAGACACATCAGGGATAGTGAGACCCAACTCTCAATACGGACTGACCAGACCGGACTGTTACAAATTCCTCCAAGCCAGTACGCTCGACTATAATAGATTGTCCTCTGATCGGATACATCGCTGTATCTTCTACTCCGATCAAAGACCGTGAACCTTCGGATCCGGACCGTCAATCACTATTGGTAGCTGGCATGGCTATCATGTGCTCACCGAGAGACGTGGCGTTGACCAACAACCCGGTTTTCCCCACAAGAGGCTTGACTTCGTCCAAGCTCCTTATGTATTGCCGACGGAACACGACACCACGAGACTCGAGCTCCGATTGAAGCCATAGTAAATATTCAAAAGGGTTTACCGTGACCGTGGTGAAAGCAGCGCCCACTTTGCATGATGCAGGGACTTCGGACTCTGAGAGCAATTTGAACTATCACCCTTGTGCTTAGGATCTAAGAACAACAGGATACAGGAATCGAACTTACATCACGCACGAGGTCTTGCCACCAGATAGTAGAAAGAAGGCCATCCGTCTCCCCGAGGACTTTGGCGGGTGCTCTCTGGAATATTTATCAGTCATGCCGATTGACAGGCCTTCAAACAAAGATTGACCTTGACCAAGCCTGATGGTGCCATGTCCCATAACCTATCACTGAGAAGCCTTGTCAGTACATTTCGAGATATTGGCGATGTGTCACTCACAAGGTTACCTGCTCCCATCGTCGTACACGCTCATCCGTGGCGCCTAACGGATTTGGAGACCAACTTGCACCCTAAGCAAGACTGAAGTAAGAAAGAGTCTGAAGAACGCTGGAAAGGTACGCACAGCGAATGGACTTGCCCAAGCTTGAGAATGCCAATCTCCAGGCATATCTCTTGCTATGATCGTGATATCAAAATCCACATCCGAGTCACAGGCAGCAATGTAGGCGATGGTAAGTCCAGTCACCCCCGCCCCAAGGATGACCAGAGGCACACGAGGCTTGGAATCAGAAGACATGGCTCCTGCAAAGCGCAAGTCGATAGCAGAGATAAGATATGAAATGATACTGATCTTGGGGCAGGTACTTATATGTAGATAAGAAGCGATTCGGTCACCTTCGGTCGAAATATATATCGCCATTAAGACGCTCGAGCCTGGGGAAGTGTTGTAGTCGAATAGTACTATAGGTGGTTGTGGAAGTCTGGTGCCATAGGAGATCTGTATAGACCACGCGGTTGGCACGGTGTGCGCTCGTGAGCCGTCTAGGATCTTTCAATATCATTGGTTGTAGGAGAACAGTGCCTGTACATCACGCCAGTCGCGCGCCTAGTGCATGTTAACAGAGTAGATCACGATGCCATTGATTATCCGGGACAACCAATCACATATCGGAATAGTGGCCTGCCGTGGCACGGAAGTACACGTCTATCTGGATTCTAAGCGCATACTTACTAGACAGCTGCACTTTCAAACTTCGACTCCGACACTGTGAAAAGAGTAAACGGACTTAAGGCTAATAATAATGTGCGAGATGGATAATATCATGGGGAAGAACGACAGCGACAACGACCAGGCTTCAACTTCTTGTCAAGTTAGTGTTCGAGGAAGTCCGGGCGGCTACGAGCGAGCTGAACTCAGAATGGAGCTCACGTGGTGTCGATACATTGATTCCGCGGAACCAGCCGCCCCGTTATATTGACCGTGAACACGTTTCTTGCACAACCAACGCTCTTAAGTCTTCAAAGGTTGATTCATCATGGACCAGCCAATAAATTGAGCTCCGACATCTATAAGTAGAGCTCATACCTAGTCGATAATGAATAAGAAACACATAACAATACAACAAATGAGTGGTGCATTGCCTGTCAACGGGCTGCACCGCAAAATACATCTAATTTAAATTTACCACCCAAAGGTTTCTTCGTGGAGCTTAACTCCACCCACAGCCGTGCACAAACGAACGTCAGAGTATCGCACCACACGCGCCATGGAATTTGCCAGCGATATAGGGCCACAGACGCCTACGAACACACCATCAGAGCCCCCAGCTGATATCGCGTTCGTCATCGCTTGATCGAGTAGTTTCCCCAGTTTGGGACGGCCAGGCAGGATGGTGATACCTTGCGGGAGGTACATCCTATGGAATGACGTGCTAATTGCGCGGGTGTAGTATACGTGCACATTTACGCGGGTAGAAGAGTTCTGTACGAGGTTCGTGAGGAGGGGGAGTAGAGGGGTAAGGGATGCTGTGGGTAGGCAGATTAGCATCACGATCAAGGGCAATGGTGAGAAGATGGTACGTACATGGGTCTTGGACGGACCAAATGATGTCAATGACTTTCACGCCCGTGGCTGCCTGGATCAGATCCGGGACTGCCGATAACGCAAAGGAGATGCCACTCCCGCCAACAGCAAACATCGCACCGGAATAGCTCGACATCACCGTGTGTCCCACGCCACCTGCCAGGTAAGAATAGAATGTCATGAGATGCATCGACTCCCCGGCAACACAACACACCATAGGGGCCCTCCACCATCACTTTAACATCACGGCCGAATTCCTTGCCGGATTCACCATAAGAAGCCGTTTGAGCCATACCGAAGAGACTGCTTGTCCAGTGGCCAGTCTTCTTGCACATAAGAACCATTCCCTCCGATGTTTCTGCCACATTTGCGATGGTGAAAGGGTGTACCTCAGACCATCCCCACCATCCCATAGATGAAGACAGCACACGTAGGCGGACGTGCTGCCCTGCACGCCAGCCTGCATTGATTGAAGGCACCTCGACTCGGGTGATTCCGAGCTCTGGGAGAGATTGCAGCTTAGCCGTAGTGATGCGGGTCTTGATGGCGCGAACGACGTGATCCAGTATATAAAATACACATGCAGTAATCACGTATGGAACACAGGTAGGCTCATGGTAGCAAGCCTATACACAATTAGCGTCGGTAACAAGACAGGGGGAAATACTTACAGCGAATAAGAAGATGATGAGGCTCACAACATGCGATGTGATGAACAGGTTGTATGATTTTGACCGGACGTATTCGGTGGAGCAGAATCCCAGGATGTCTAAACATACCAATGCGACGATCCCCCAGCGAACATAATCCTCGGCGAGCTTACTATAGATGTCGCCAGCTAGGCTCCATTTATAGACTACGCCAAGCATACATCAGATGAGACAAAAGCGGAGAAGGCACAAGGCAGTACATACCATAGCCGATGAAGTGGACGTTTGCACCGATGACCATCAGTTTACCGACCAAGCGGTGAAGAAAGTTCAACTGCACACCACGATCAGCAACGTAGTAAACACCATGTGGATCAAGCAAACCTTTTCGTATCCAACGCCCACCATCATGCCAATGATGTTGTTCTTGGTGGCTAATGCATATACGAAAGGAATTTGAGAAGCAATCACAAATCCGGCTCGGTGAGGGTCCGTAAATGGGTCTGACTGGTAGAAAGACACGTAGAATATAATAATGATGTACGCCAGTATCAGGAGAACTTGGTTAACGGAGTAGTTTTCGTGAACGCGGTAGCGCAACACAAATGCCACCTGGTGCCAGATAGATGATACAGTAGGGCCTTGGTTTGGATGTTTTGGCAGGGCTTTCTCATTAACGACATGCGTCAAACTGTTTTTGTATTCAGACGGTAATGGGGCGCAGGCAGTCGAAGAGTTGCCGTGGTCAAGATCCACAAAGGACTCAGGTTCAACAGGGGCTAAAGGAGTGTGCTTGGGGTTGAACCTTGGCTTGGTAGCAGGGAGAGGTGTTATTGAACGAAGGAAGTGACCTTGAGACCATTCCGACCTGCGGCTGAGACGAGCATACGCTCGGGGGAGACTGGCAAGGGTGAATATGAGGATGATACCGAAAATTAAAATGTCGGCGTGGTAAACCAGGTTATCGTCCAGGCCCATGTTGACAAGAAGGTGCTGGTAAAGGAATGGTAGGTACTAGGAATCCTGTGGGCTTGAGGGTACAATACTTGGGGACTTCCAGAAGCCCGCCTAAAAAGAATAAAGGACTCGAAAGTGAGTGGCCTGGCGAAAGAATAAGTAAACAGTACAATCTCTGAAAGGGAACGCACTATATATGATCCAATCTAGCGCTCTGTGACAATGAATTTTCTGATATAGAAATGGGCGACATTACAATGCAAAAAAATTGCAATCCTGTTGCGATGGGCCTGGCCGGTTAATGTCAGTCCGTGTGGTCACATCAACGGGGTGCATCGCGACTCGTAAGGTACTTAGGCTCATCTATCAGCAAGTTTACAATCAGATGAGCCTGAGATGGGCTCAAGTTGCGTTTGATTGTAGAAGTGCCAGGCGATGAGGACCTTAGCCCAGTTTGTGAAACACTGTGTAATGCGGTGATCAAAGTACCTCAACTGTATTGAACAACGTTAACAGTTAACTGTGGCAGTACGTACTATTAATATAATTATTGTCGTGGCGATACTCCGACTTCTGCCGCAACAAGGCGGTTTCTAGGCTCTAGCACCTTAATTATAGACTTATAGTACTTAAAGCCTTCACCGGCAGCAACCTTGTCCCTGGCTACAAGTATGCATGTACTATCGTTTGGATAATGCGGCAAAAGTATACCATTTGTACATCATCAGCGGTGGCAACAATCAAGAAAAGTTACGGAAAATTCCTTGTCGGACGATATGCTTAGTGCTAGTGTTGTGCTGGTGCTTCAATAGACCGGATGGCGGCCCCGATAGGTTCTGACAAATGATTGAGATGAAAATAACTTCCAGAAAGCACATCACCTAGTCGGAAGATGCTTAAGCGCTGTGACTTTCCTTTCCTTTGAGAGGTTTGTCCGATGAATGAGTAGCGTTTCTGCGCTGCCAGACCGGTCAAACCGAGCGCTGGAACGTTCAGTGCTCAGCTCATCTGAACTGAACTTTTCAAATTCGATCGATTTCCGACAATCTCCGTGCGAGGCTGTCCGACCGATTTTTACCAGGGCTCAGCACTGAAACTTGATCAGTAGGGTGCGCTTCACAGCACGTATGAAGCACAGATAACTCAACCTTGTTAGAGGTGGGCTTGTATTCCATGCATCAAATACAAAGCAAAGTGATGCATCGATGAGGGTTATACATCACCTTTACGACCTCCGAGGCTCCGAATGCGTACTAACCTTTGTTACTTATTTTAGATACCACTGGCCAGTGGCATAAGATTGCTGACCAGTTAAGACCCAATCAGACCTCTTCTACAAAGTTTAAGTCTATCTTACCTCAGCGCCATGATTCCGCAGTAGATGGGGGGTACTCATCTTGATGGCTTATCAGAATGACCGGTCTCTGTAAATCACATGGCTGTTGCGCATCGCATATCCGTTGGACATCGCAATTACATCGTGAAACATGGCCTAAACGGGTCGGGCAATCAGCGATCAGCGCTTAGCTTTACTAGAATAAACCAATACCTTCCTGTACTCAGAAGGCCTGATTAGGGGAGCCTAGCTGATCAAAGTTCGTTCTCTAACATGTTTCCATGCTAGAGGCAGAGCAATCATCAAAGCACGCGTACGTCAACCCACGCCCATCGCATGGAGATGATACATAGGACCATGGCCCCGTTCCCAAACACAGCAGCACGACAGGTGTGACGTGTCACACTGATAATTGAGACTTCCACATGCAATCAGGGACACTCATGCATGTGTATCATTGTCTCGTCGTCAACGCAAGTTCAACCAAACACAATGCCAACTGATGCCAAGGGGACCTGTTGTTAACAATATGGCCGAGAGCACTTATCTGACAGGGTCGCCAACGCGAGTTTCAAGCACGAATAGTGACACTATTCATAATCACCCATTTCAGACGACGGTGAGATCGGTGACGGTGTGCACACCGATTCCCCGATACAACAACCTACTGTAGGACCTGTTGTCTCTGAATGATCGATTCACCGTTTATTGTAGGGCTCGATGTTCCAAATAATCTAACCCTCCACAAAAGTTTGCAAAGGCATATGTCCGTTCATATTCCATAAACCGGCTCGGGAACAGCTCGTGACGGCCAAGGCCTTACGACGAGCTCCTTTGCAAACATCATGGTCATATCATAGCCACGGAAGCTTTTGAACATGACCCCAGATGATATAGCATCGAATAGCGCTGGAAGTCGGAGAGGCGAATGTGCCGTCCGATTTTCTTGGAACGTGCTTAAACGCTCAATACCATGGTCCATGATACGCCGACGTGGAGAACCTAAGTGCCCAAAAACAGTATTCAAACACAAAGCAACATGTTGATGTGATTTGAGATATCTTTCGGTGTTCCGATTTAGCATGGTATCAATCAATTTGAAAACTGGTGGTCACATGAGAGACGAGCATCATGATAAGCGACTGACAGCTAGCTAACGACCGTAATCGTTGGGCAACTGGATAAGAATGGTAGGCTAAGAGAGAACATCGAGGACAGACCAGATTATATCTGGGCGACGGACTTGGTACTTGCGCGACTAGCATTTTTTCCAGCACTGGTACTGGGCACTGAGCGCCACATGTGAGATCCCACAGCACGTATTCATCATGTTGCCGATAAGATCGAATCTGTCAGGATGTGAATTTCATGCTTTTGACAAGCACTCATTGTATGCCTGATCACGGCGTAATCTCTATCTCTGTATTGTGGATTCTGAGACTTCTAGGGAATAAATGACAAATGGGAATCGGATATGACATACTCAACTTGATTGAAGTAGGTAGCTCTGTCCCTGAGGTACTGGGCGTTCAACATCATGTGCGGTGGCACGAGGCATCATCATAATTACGCCACATTACTATCACATTAAACACGTACTAATCTTTGACACACGAAAGCTGAGCGCTGCGGAGTTGCATCATATGATGTATCTTGATCCTCTGTCCGCCGAGTTCATGGTTTTTACCCTGTTTTCAGTCGGACTTTACCCGGTTCCTTCAAACTCATCAGTCCAACTCCAGTGAAGGATTCCGAAACGGACAACACGTCGAAGGTTCGAGTTGCCGTTCCCGAGCATGAGAAGGTCGTCCAACACTGGTAGTTGCGAGGGGAATGCCCATTTTTTATCCGAAGAGAGCTCGCAGGTGTGCCAGAGGATGGCGGTGGCGGTACCGGCGCAGGCTCGCGGGGTCGTGTTTTCGAATACATGATGATGATATACAAACACCAATGGCAGTACAACCCTCTATGGTTGCATCAATGTTTGAATAACTCCGTGACAGCATGTCCGGCGTTGTCGGTGACACAATGTAGGATGAGTTGCAGTGGACGGAGAGAAGGCGGGCTTTGGGGGAGGACCTAAGCGGCCGGGAATGGGCGCTGAAAGCGCGCCTTCAATCACTGGAGAAGGACAAGAGCAGCGACAATGACGGACGCGTGGAATTTGGTGGGAGGCAATTAAACTTGACTTGGGAGTTAGATGAGGATGATGGAAGCAAAGTTGCGAGGCGTTTTCGGGAGCTCTGGGGAGCCGAAGTACCTTCGGGGGGTACTCGGACTTTGTGAGCTCTTGAAGGAAACGAGTAAGATCCGTGTGATAACAGGCTACCAAAAAGAAGCCATGATGCGCCGCCGCCCACTTATATGGGCGTTTTTCAGTTGTAATTTCAATATGCCCTCCTCAAGCATGTATGGAAGAATCGCGCGTCTTTCTTCGCTAAGGGCTTTTGCGAGGCTTTTAAACCTCCTTCCGACTATTTTTCATGTCTCGTTCACCAATGTCCAAGACTGAGATGACTAACCTTGAGCTCACCCTAGCCGTCGACCGCGACAAGCCCCTCACATGGTGGAAAACACTTTCGATCTTCTGGGACACGCTTTCGAGTACCGCCCTAAGTAGGTGTTGGCCTGCGTTGATTGTCACTGGTATCTGGTCGTCTTCAATATGTGTGATTAACTATTACACGCACGGAGTATTGTCGATTCAGCCGACTCTTATCACTGTGTAGGCGGTCATTGGTTCCAGTGAAACCATCTTTGACAGGGTTTCATCGCAGGTTCGGTACCGTTCTCGGTTTCATAATATCTTTTCGGACGTCATCCAGTTTCGAGCGTTATAATGAGGGTGGAAAACTCTGGTCTCATATCGTGTTAAACTGCCGTATCTTTGCTCGGACCGTGTGGTTTCATGTCCCAGGTGCACAAGCTCTCATCTTATTCGTATGGGTCACTCAAACGTTACAGATAACACTTTTCCGGCTTCCCCAAAGGACTATCAGACTGCTGACGAAGTGACAGACCAGGACTCCGAGTCAGCGAAGACTCAGAAGGAATACGCCATGACCCTCATTGAGAAGAAGACGGTCATAAATTTACTCGAGGCGTATGCTGTCGCCGTCAAGCACTACCTGCGAGGGGAAGAAGGAATTTACTATAAAGATCTTTACCCGCTTGTTCCCTTCCTCTCTTCATCCCACTACTCGTTTCCTGCGGTTATCCCTACTAAAAATGACCAAATTCGGCACTTACGCAGCAGGCACACACATCACCCGAATCGCGACACTCCAGAACTCTCTGGGGATGCAGCCGTTGGTCCAACCCAAGAAATGACAGTGCCTAGGTCTTTGTCGAAATCTGATGAAAAATCGTTCTGGAAAGACACCACCAAAACCATCGCACCGCCTCATTATGATCCGGAGTCTCTTCTACCCGCCGAATTACCTCCTAGGCACGGCTGGCGAGCAGCTTTTCCATTTCCGGTCTTCTTTTGGGTATGGGGAATCATAAAGAAACGTTTCTGTAAGCTCGGAGCAGATGGCACACGTCAAAATTTCCGCCCCAGTAAAAATAACGTCCCTTTGGAAATATTTCTGTACTTGGTACGTGGATCTCACCATGCACGGAAGTTAACAAGGCCTAATTTTTGAGCCCCAAAGACATCCTACATTGCTGCACTGCAAACCCGTCGCACCGTGAGTGACCCGACCATAGGTGTGGTTTACCGGACTCGTTTTCTGTGTCACTGGTAATTATACTCGCAGGTGTGCTTTGCGCGACACTTAATCAGCTCGTGGAAGCCCTGACTGGGTTAGAAAGGATCCTTGCCACTCCGATTCCGTTTTCGTGCGTGATCGCTAGACGCCTGTTGCCTCTTTGATCCCTAATTTTCACTTAGTTACTCCTCGCATCTATGGACGATCACAATGCTTTATATTGCAGCTTTGGTATGTTGGAGTCTTTCCCCGCCCACAGCTAGTTGATACCGTTGTTATGTGACAGCCCTTCCAGCTATGGACTACACTTGAATGGTTCACCATTCCAGCGACTGTGATTGCTGTAAGGCGCATCACACACTTCCTTGTGTCGTCTTATCTCATTTAACCACCAAGAGTCTTGTTTTCTATGGTTTTCTTGTGGCCGGGGAGGAAATTGAAAGTAAGTCACAAAGCTAAGATGTTGCGCTCATTCATTTAACGCATGGTCTTAGATCCGTTTGGCAAGTTGTCCCATTCCGAATGACTAATACGATCTTGTTGACATCTATCTGATAGGCTATGACAGGAATGACTTGGTGCGTCTATTTTTCTTACATCTGGGGATGTATTCGCTCACCCAAGAACGTAGAACATGAAATATTTAGTGGAGAATATTATACGTGAGTCTCATTGCTGTCCGGGGGGTGTATTCTTCTCACTTACTCCATCCAGGGAAGGAACTTCATGCTATTACAACGACGCCGGCTCCAAACCCGGCAATATGGGCATTCTCGAAAGAGAACAATTTTCTTCAAGTTGAGCCATATTCGAAGGACGATTCGGACAAAATACCGACGGCCTGGGTTCACAAGGGGAAGGAGGAGATTTTTAGCGCTTTGCATGGGTAGGTCGTGCATAGTCAAGTTAACATTGGTGATTCATGTCTTTGCACTAGCAGGTCTCGCACTATCTGAGGATACCATTAAGTGGAGTAGCAGAGAAGCTACGACTGGCAGTAGTATTTGTACTCTTATATCAATCGTCCTATCTTAGGTAAAAGTGGTAATATAACAGCCCAGAAACATTAGGCGTATACTCACGCCTGTCAAGACGGCGCAGGTTTGGGCGGCACCGGCAAGTCGATGCAAAGACGAGAGCGGAATTGACACCTTTACATAAATGGCTGTGATACTGTTAGGTTGATCCTGTGTCGAAATGGCGATACAAATGTTCGGACAATTCATAGTAAGCGACATATGCGGTGACAATTGATCGAAAATAACACTCATGTCATCTGACGGTCCTCGGCCTCATCGATGCATTTCCATCACGAGTATCAAACCCGAAGTTTCCATCGGTAATAGACAAGATCACCTGCATCAGTAAGTCAGGATGCAATGTTCGTGTTGCTCGATCTCAAAGTCTATCTTACCTCAACACCGCGTCCTCCTATGATTCCACAGCAGATGGGGGTGCCATCTTGGTGGCTTATCAGATTGACCAGCCTCTGTAGATCACATGGCTGTTGCGCATCGCATACCCGTCGAACATCGCAGTTACATCGTGAAACATGGCCCAAACGGGTCGGGCAATCTGCTATTTTCAGTGATCAGCGCTTAGCTTTACCAGAATAAACCAATACCTTCCTGTCCTGAAGGCCTGATTAGGGGAGCCTAGCTGATCAAAGTTCGTTCTCGAGCATGTTTCCATGGACCATGCTAGAGGCAGAGCAATCATCAAAGCACGCGTACGTCAACCCACGCCCATCGCATGGAGATGTATGTTTCCTACATAGGACCATGGCCCCGTTCCCAAATACAGCAGCACAACAGGCGTGACGTGTGATACTGATAGTTGAGACTTCCACATGCACTTATGCATGTGTATCATTTGTCTCGTCGTCAACGCAGGTTCCAAACACAATGCCAACTTATGCCAAGGGGATTTGTTGTTAACAATATGGCTGGGCACTTATCTGATAGAGTCGCCAACGCGCACGAATGTCGAAGCGACACTATTCATAATTACCCGTTACAGACAACGGTGAGATCAGTGACGGTGTGTGCATACCAATTCAGCGATACAACAACCTTTTGCAAGGGCACCCGTTGTCTCGATTCATCGTTCATTGTATTTTTCTCTATCCTTTATACAATCCTCGGCACTGGGATTGAAGGTGGAAAACAGGTGTGGCAATCCAAAGTAACTGAAGTAGCTCCGTGTTTCATTGCGGACGAAAATCTTGAGATCCAGGAATTCCAGCTACAATAGTATTAACATTTCTCAGTAGATAAATCACGCACTTTGTGGTGCTGAAGGGATCGCGAATATGAAGGCTCTCCGGATTCAAAGCAGGCGACTTATCAGAAGAAACGACGACGAGCTGGCAATCGGGCTGATACTGTGCAAAATGGCACTCACTGAAGGCTGCGTCCAAATAGACCCTTCGTAATAGTGATTGAGACACAACAGAACAGTCTCTTCGGGGATACGCATGGACCACTTGCTGTTGACGTTCCAAGGACGTCTGAGCTTGTTTACTGCTTCTGCTCACGGCGCATCAACCTGCGTTGATCAGCAGGTGACACAATTTCCTGGGATGACCTGTGAATGACCGAAGGGCCATACTCAAACTTGAGGACACTGAGAAGATAGCGCGAGTCCGGTAAGTTGGTAGGCTGCATGAACGAGAACTATGCAAGCCATACGTCATTCAAAAGACGGCAGTCCATAACCTGCAGACACGAAGCACGTGTGGACACTAGATCATTGCAGATCTCAGCGCGCGAATATTCAACGTGGAACGGCCATTTGACGGAAGGCTGCGAATGGACTCTGACAGGGTATCAACACAAAGCTTGTACAACCGTCGCGCAAGTTCTTCAGTCCACAGCGACACCCATGGAATGTAAGAAGCAGGGAAACTTTGAACAGCACAAGGCGCAGGTGGAGGACAGCGTAATACTTCAGCAGCATCAGCACCAAAGATATTCACAAAATGCGCACAAAGTGGAGGTAACAAGTAGCGCCTAGTGACCACCAACTCTACGATTCTCTGGTTCTCTCGCCATCTGACTCTTACTCCTTGTCCTTGGACGCATCTTTGAGTACCATTCCCATGCAAGCCGAATGACTTCACCATCAGCGTCGTAAGGTGTTGGAATTTCACTGTATCCTGGGCGTGCCGTCGGGTGGCGCACATATATGGCACTGCAGGTGGGGAAGGAGACCTCTGCATAGGCAGGAATAAAGATGAAAGGAGACGCATATGGAGGGAGGTTGAAAGGCGTCAACGAGGACTTCGTAGGTGCAAGTTTTACGGAAGGCATGGACTGGGAGAGATCCGAAGACTCGGTTTTAAGTTCTGAGTCTGAAGGTTGTTCACCCTCGGGCTCTGCCTTGGAAGACTCAGGATTTTGGAGGAAACGAATGGCTGCAGGGTCAACGGAGATCATGTCACCTGGGGCCAGACGTGTATTGGCATCCGTATGCTGAAGAGGTGGATTAGTGTATCGAAGCTGACACCAGAGAAGAAAACTAGCGCACCTTCTTGCCATTTAAGAGGACGGATCCATGAATGACGAGTCTCCGTGCCTCATAGACACTATGCGCAAAGCAGCATCGAAAGATGAACACATCAATGCGTCGCTCCACCTCGGCAAGCATTAAACTGCCCACAGGTGCCAAGCCTTTCTTTTGCTCGTCATACGCTCTCTTCTTTGCTCTCTCCAGTTGTTCGGTACGCCCAGCGAACGCGTCGAGATCACCATTACTGTAAAGCGCGTGCTGACGAGGCCGCACGTCGGGAAGTGTGTCGGGGAGGTACCACCGCTTGAATATTTTCTCGTTAATGAAGTCGCCGTGGTACGCACGTACGAGTGCTTTCGATATCCACCGCTGTTGAAACAACGTCTTGGGTGAGCGAGTGAAGTTTATGGCCTCGGCCTCGGCTCCACAAGACCGCTTCCAGAGGTTGTAGAGGTTACGCGGAGACCAGCTCTGTTGGAGATATTTTGTGTGTTTAGGTTGGAGGTGAAAAGAAGAGCTACGGAACTGACCATTCGAGGCATGGCCTTGCGGAATGCAAAGATGTTGGCATCCCTCATAGTTGGAAACGTTGAGGTCCTTCAATATTGCTCCCAACAGAAATCTAGACAGACCCGGTTTGAACTCCGAGGATGAAGTAGAAAATCGTGACTACCAAAAACAGTAACCAACTCTATCATTTACGCGTCTTGTGCATCTACCGCGTCCATTGCCAATCTGCATAGTCGTCCAATAATATGGACCCTTACACTCCACGAATGCGTCCAGGAGGCCGCAAGAAGAATCTTGGTTTATCTGCAAAAGAGTATACCAAGGTATGAATCTCCTTGTATACTTATTATAACATGCAGACAATCGACCATTCAGATCACCGGCACTATCGCTTCTGTTCGCAGAAATAGACAACTGAGCGACGATATCTACGAAGATCCAGATGTTCGCGTGCACTCATCACGAGAAAGCCGTAGCAAAAGTACGTGGTCCTCGATGACCTGCATATTACAGTATTGATGGCATGCAGGCCACGAGCCGTCATTCATCGCCGAAACTTCGTTCGTGCGCGCACCATTGAACTCGCGAGTTGGCGCATCTTCTTCGATACCTAAGGTGAAGGGAAAGGGAAAGGAAGATGTCTTGGACAATCTTCCCGTGGATATACAAGAGGCTTTGATTTTGGAGGATCTTCTCTACGTTTTGATGGTATGTCTTCGCGAGTGGTCGTTATGTTCAAGGTGTATGGCCGTTTTTTCGGTGTCAGCTGGAACAATCTATGATCTTGCTTGTGTCAAACATCCGATCACCACGTTTGGTCTGCTATTTATCTCATATTTTGACCTCTCCCTTTCCTTCATTTCAGTTCACGTTCAAGTTACAATTACAGCAATGACTAGACATTTAACATTCCCGCTTTACCTCATAATTTCTGTCGAGAAATTTGTTTCTTCTTGGTTCTCGTGCTTCTGCCCTGTGCTTCACCTCGTCCTCACCTGAATCTCATCTCTATAGGGCATCGAGGGAACATATATTTCCCATCATCCTGAATACTCGCCAGAAGATGATGACCCACTCAAGGGAATACTTTTTGTTTTGTCCTCCCCGCTAGGTCTGTCTGACAAGTCAGAGAAGATCGTTCTCGCTCATCTTTTATAGATTCGTCCCTTCGAGACCTAACGGAACGGATAGTACCGCTCGGCACTTACTACACCGCTATCTCCTCTTTTGTTGAGAGCCGCAGCCACCTCGATTTTGGGCTTGTCAATCATGCACTCTGCGCTGCCATCCGGGACATGCTCAAGGTCAATTTCCCCCATCGCTTAGGCGTCATCTTACTTACCCCTTGAAAGGACTACCAAACTCTCCTATCTCAACTCGAACATGCATTCAACACCTCACCGCAATTTAGTCTACAGAAATTATGGTTCTACGTCCACCCAACAGTGCATACCCTATCCCTTATTTATCAGCTCATCCTTGAACTCGCTACTACCGATGACGACGACGCCTCCTCATCATCGTCTTCTTCTGAGTCTGATCCAGAGCAGGCAGCACGAGACGAAGCACTTGGGCTCGGCGGGGCGAAGCTGAAGGCCGTTCTGTCTGACATGAAGAAGAGCACATCAGATGCACCTATCAATGTGAAGGGTGGTGAAGTGCTAACGGTGATATATGAGCGCATGCAGACCATGTCAGGCGACCCCACCGCGGTCAAGGTATACGGCACTCTTCTAACTGCAGCGGGGGTGCCCTATGTCGAGATGCTCAGGGTATGGACAACTACGGGTCGTCTCGAGGACCCATACGAGGAACTGTGTGTCAAGGAGAGCAAGTTCATCAGTAAGGGCATTTTGGAAGTGGACTATACGGACGAGTATTGGGAGAGGCGATATACGGTGAGCTTTGTGTCTGAGCGAACGGGGTGCATGTGTACTGATGTCTGGGTAGCTTCGCGATGGTTCTACCCTTTCTTCGAAGCGCCAGCATACAGGTGTTCCACCCCCACGTACTGCTGGAGGACGATTACCCGGTGGCGCCTGTATACCGCCCCTTCTAGAGGGTTGGAAACACAAGTTTTTACTTGCAGGTAAATATCTCAACGTGATACGTGAATGTGGGATCGAGGTGCAAGCCGATCAGAAGGATATAACGAAAGAGTCGCTGTCCATGGAAGATGAAAAGTGTGTTTCTTCATTGGGTCGAGTCCCCGTGTCTTTTTCATGGGCATTTGCAGGCTTTACAAATTCATCGAAGACGCGTACACACACGCGAATCGCACACTCCTACGTCTCCTGCTGCAAGATCAACAGCTCATACCTCGGCTCCGCTCTCTCAAGCGTTATTTTTTCCTGGCCTCCTCATCGTTCCTCACCCACCTCTTAGACCTTGCCCACTTAGAACTGAAGAAGCCCGCGAAAGGTGTCAGTATCGTTAAGCTACAGAGTCTCCTCGACCTTGCACTTACAGGGGAAGATGCCGCATTCCGTGAAGATGTGCGAGTCAGCATCGCGAGCAGCGGATTGTATGAATGGTTACTCAAGGTCATCAGCGTAAGCGGCGTGATTGGCGGTGAGGAAGGCGAAGGCGTGCCAGATGAAGAAGCAAAGAAGGATCGCGACCGGGAAAAGGATGACAAGAAGCCTATGTTAGGTATGTGCATGAAGCCCTGGCGTTACTGTCCTTGCTCATCTCAAATAAGCGATTGATGCCCTTACACTCGACTACAACGTGAAATTCCCGCTTTCACTCGTCATCTCTCGCAAAACGATCTTGCGTTACCAGCTCCTCTTCCGCTTTCTCTTACATCTCAAACATGTGGAGCAATCGCTCGCATCGATGTGGATAGAACAGAAGACGAGTCCCTGGCGGCGTTCCGTGCCTAACCACCCCGAGTTCGAGCAGTGGCGACTGCGAGTCGCACTCCTGAGAGCTCGTATGCTCGCTTTTGTTCAGCAAATACTGGCTTTCACGACATTCGAGGTTCTTGAACCTAACTGGCGGGCGCTAGAGGCAAAATTGGCCAAGGTAACTACTGTAGATCAACTTCTGAGGGATCATGTAGACTTTCTGGACACGTGCCTGAAAGAATGCATGTTGACGAGTGCCAAACTGCTGAGGGTATGTGTGCGACCTCGTACCCAAACGCCCGCTGATCATCTCACTTCCAGGCGTACTCACGCATGATAGTGACGTGCTCTACGTTCGCGCTGTACACCTCCTCCTTCACCAAATCCGCCAATCAAGCGCTTGCAGCAGTGGAGAGTGGCGACGGCGACCAGGCGATGAACAAACGCTGGGAATTTCTGAAGAAGTTTGAGTCTAACTTTAACCACTGGTGAGCGTCCCATTGTCTGCGTGCGATATCTGGAAAGTGGGATTCTGACGCTGCTTGTCTCTAGGTTCAAGGTGATGTTGTTTCATTCACGCAGTTACCTTATTCCTGACTGACATTTATTGTACAAGTTTCATCTGGACTGCGTGCAGTACTACGCGTCAAGTGAGAATGTATCGCTGCTTCCTCTTGTGGTGCGGTTGAGTAGCATCAAGGCCATGTCATAGCCTCAGCTGAATCGATGAGAAGTTGCTGGGGTACTGGTGAGTGACAGAATCACGCCCAAAAATCGGTCAGCTTTATTGCTTTCTCAGCTGTTATTGTTGTATGTTGTTCTTCTAGCCATGCGCAATATATATGTTGCTATATGCTATTGCTTAGGATGTGAGGAACGCGTAGTCTCCCGTAGTAAGACCATTCAAGACAAGATAGTTATTCGTCGATAATGTGATAATGACACATGAGTTAGCGCAAATCAGCGTCAAAGGACTACTGTGGGTCAATTTACATAAGTGAATTTGGTGTCCTCTACACCTGTGGACTACTAGTAGGCCCTTGTAGAGGGTGCTAACCAGAGCGCGATTACTAGCGGTGTCACTGCTAATTCACCGAATCCTAACATTGTCATCAGGTTAGTGGCAAAAACGATGGGTCTGTAGTTGAGTCAAAAAGAGTGAGACAACTGGGAATGTATTACACGGGCATGCAGTGTGTCAAAAATCAAGCAATCAGATACGGTAGTCAAGATATGTAGATGTACAGGGAAGTGAGGCTGCAACGATGCAAGACCTAGTACGATGGATGACTCCCACATAAAATAAGACATACGACTATAACTGACCTGCGTAGAACCTGGCATCAAGTTCAAGACGGGCTTTAGTTGAAGCCATCAGCGTCAGATCGCTCGCTCTTTTTACCCTTAGCATAAGGCTCGTTGTAATTGAAGAGATCGGTGCCAAATTGCTCGCGGTTCTCCACATCTGGCAGCAAGTTACGCCTATCAACCTCAGCATGGTGATCTGGATCATGAATACTCACAGGAACGTTTCGCGATGGCTCCTTCCGTGGGGTATGCCATAGCAAGAGCCACGATAGATGCGAGCGAGCTGAAAATAAGAGAAAGCTTCATGTTACAGTTGAGAGGTGTGAGCTTGATAAGTACTTCGTCAGTGCACTACATTGGAATCTTCAATAAAGCTTTTTATACATTTTCGTCACGACTTCGTCCGCTCACGACTAGTGACTCACTGAGTCACCTAAATTGGTCGAAATCTTATTTATTCAGAATTTTTGTCACAACCTTAGGGATTGTTCAAACTTCTACGTGGACGGTAAATTTAATCAGCCGTCAGTCTCATTGGAAAATCACTCAGCGCACACAATCCCAGCGAGGCAAGACTGTCAAGCTCGAATTCTCGTCGATGCATCTTCGAATCGGCTTGGTGCATAGAGCAGGTCCTCTCACGCAAGAAAGCGATAAGCCTCTGTCTTCACATACCGTTTGATACCTATCTCCATCAATCACAAGCCAAGATTGTCATGCACTTCTGAAAGAAACTTACAGGTGCTTGTGCCTTCAGCCAATCAATCTTATATCGTACCCCCAACTTACGACTGAGAGTTTAGAAGCACGTGTCCAACCCGACTCATGCTTTACCATCGAAGCGCCCTCGCATTGTAACCAAGCCGGCGGATGTAGAACGTGCCTCAATATTTGTATGGATCAAACATATGGAGTCGAAGTGGGAAACAGTGAATGGACCAATGCTACGAGCCAAGTGAGAAGTTTGAGGATGAATTTGATGTGTTAAAGGAAGAAGGGCTATCGGGACTCGGGAGATGTGTATAACTTCCGTCTGTCGGACATCCAAAACCCGAGAATATCGGCATGGTAAAGCAGGGTCGGTAGCTCGATACAGTCGCAGCCGCACGCACTCATCGATACCAACATGGATTTTGGCTGAATACCCTTCGAAAGGCCGTTGGAACTTCGACGAGGTCAAATTTTTCCCTTTGTAAGTCATCATTTTCATCTTTCGCAGTCAAATATTCTCAGTAGGACAACTCGCTCAATTCTTCCACAGCAGCTTACATAGCACACTCGAAGCAAGATGCATGTTGTTGTCGAAAATTTTCCCTTCCACATTGCATAGTCGAACGACTACTACTAGTACGGAACTCGTGTTGTTTAGAAATTATCAATGGCAAACCATTGGCTTGTGAATTTCACGCGCAGCTAAGAGTGTTCCATCTGAGAGAAGGCACGAAGCTAGCAGAGGAACAACACGGAGAGAACTACAGGCCGGAGAAAATAACTCAAGACGACAGATGAAGATGATGGTTTAATGGTTTTGCAGATTGAGACTCGAGTAGCATGGGCTGAAAGGGTCGACAACGGAACGGATAGTGCTGCTCGGCACTTACGATGCTGCTATCTCCTCTTTCGTAAAGAGCTGCAGTCCTTCCGTTTTTCCTTACATGTAGATCAATTGATCGTGTAGACTTTCTGGGCACGTGCCTGAAATAATGAGTGCCAAATTGCCTGAGGGTATGTGCGCGACCTCCGACCCAATCACCCGATCATCGCACTGCCAGGCGTACTCCTGCATGATAGCGACGTACTCTACGTTCGCACTGTACACTTCCTCCTTCACCAAGTCCGCCAATTCAGCGCTCCGAGTGACTCGCAGCAGTAGAGAGCGGCGACAGCGACCAGGTGATGAACAAATGCTAGGAATTCCTGAAGAATTTCGAGTCTAACTTTGACCACTAGTGAGCGTGCGTGCAGTTATTTGAAAAGTGAGATTCTGACGCTGCTTGTCTCTGGGTTTAAGGTGATGTTACTTCATTCACGCCGTGTGTGGTTACAGCATTCTCGGCTGACATCTTTCGTACAAGTTTCACCTGGACTGCATACAATACTACGCGTCGAGTTAGAATGTATCGCTGCTTCCTCTTGTGGTGCGGTTGAGTAGCACTAAGGCGATGTCACGGCCTCAGCTGGATCGATGCGAAGTTGCTGGAGTCATTGTAAGTGACAGAATGACGCCCAAAAATTCGTCTAGGTTTATTACTTTTTCAGTTCTGTCGTTGTATTTTGTTCTTCTAGCTATGCGCGATATATGTATTACTACGTGCTATTGCTGAGGAACACGTAGTCTCCTGTTATAGGACCATGTAAAAAAGACGTAGTTGTTCCCCGGACGAGAACCAGCTAGCAGTGAGCAGGTTGTATGTATACCGTTTCATTTTAGATGGGAGCTGAGAGAACTTGAGGTGACAGCACACGAGCTAGAAAGTGCAATACGCAATGTCACTAGATGACAGCTTAGTGGCAAGAACACTGGGTGTATTTCAGTCAAAAATTTTAAGAGGGGCACGTAAAACAACTGGGATTGTACTACATAGGCATCCATCATGTCAGAAAACAAGCGATGAGATAAGGGAATCGAGATATGTAGATGTACATTGAAGTTACTTGTGATTGAGGCTGCGGTGATTCCGGACCTAATACGATGGATGATTCAGATTTCCACAAAAAAACAAGACATAGGGCTATAACTCACCTGCCGCGTAGAACCTGGCGTCAAGTTCAGTGCGAGCTTTAATTGAGGTCACCGGTGACAAGCTCCTCACGTTTCCCGTCGTGAGGATGGTGGTGGCGGTGGTCAGAATCATCTTCCTCGCGCTTCCTCTCACCGTGACCATGCTTCTTCCGGTGGTCAGCGTCAAGCTCCTCGCGCTTTCCCTCACTATGAGGATGCTTCTTGTGGTCAGCGTCGAGCTCCTCGCGCTTTTCCGCACCATGAGGATGCTTCTTGTGATCAGCGTCGAGCTCCTCCCGCTTTTCCGCACCATGAGGATGCTTCTTGTGATCAGCGTCGAGCTCCTCGCGCTTTTCCGCACCATGAGGATGCTTCTTGTGGTCAGCGTCGAGCTCCTCCCGCTTCCTCTCACCATGAGGATGCTTCTTGTGGTCAGCGTCGAGCTCCTCACGCTTCCCATGAGGATGCTTCTTGTGGTCAGCGTCGAGCTCCTCCCGCTTTTCCGCACCATGAGGATGCTTCTTGTGATCAGCGTCGAGCTCCTCGCGCTTTTCCGCACCATGAGGATGCTTCTTGTGGTCAGCGTCGAGCTCCTCACGCTTCCTCTCACCATGAGGATGCTTCTTGTGGTCAGCGTCGAGCTCCTCGCGCTTTTCCGCACCATGAGGATGCTTCTTGTGGTCAGCGTCAAGCTCCTCGCGCTTCCCTACATATGATAGAAGTTCGGCGCGGTTCTCTGCATCTAGTAGCAAGTTACGCTTATCAACCTCCGCATGGTGATGAGTGGTTTGAATACTACTCACAGGAACGTTTCGCAATGGCTCCGTCCATAGGGAACGCCGTAGCAAGAACCACGATGGATGCAAGCGCGGTGAAGACGAGAGAAAGCTTCATGTTTGAGTTAACAGATGCGACTGGTACGTTTGTCGATGCACCACATTGAAATATTCCAGAGGGCTTTTATACCTTTTCGTATGTCGGCTCATGACCCAGGTCCACTAAATTGGCTGAAGCCTTATCCACTCAGAACTTTTGTGAGGGGCTATTCTAAGTGGACTTAATGAGCCGTCAGTCTTCGAATTGAAAGATCGCTCAACATCCACAATCCCAACAAGGTAAGACCGTCAACCCGAAGTCCAGATTTCACCTCGGATCAATGCAGTTCATAGGCCCATGCTGGCAAGAGGTCTGAGGGACGGCAGCCCCGTTTCGCATTCGCAAATTGGAAATCGGAGACCGAACAAACCGCCGATGCCGAAATCCAGATAGTTAAATAAAGATTCTTTGAATCTATGACCCTACTCAATAACCGTTTGTTCAGTTTATTTCTTTGTCCGAGAAAGACGAAATAAACTGTCAAGTAAGGTTTGTATGCTGTGCCTGGCTCGGAGAGTGAAACGAGCAGCCGAATTGCAGAGACCCTGCCGTGAAAGAACACCTAGTACACCCTGTCATGCTGCGCGATGACTCAATGCATCAATAACGGCAGCGCCGAGGGAGCACCTTTTTCCATCTTCGTTCCAGTAGTTACTCGTAGGTCAGGACCGTCGGCACCTTCGAGGAGAGTGTGTAGTGACTTGTAACCACTCCCGGAGCCACCGTTCGGCGGCCAAGCCGTGGTGAAAACAGGTGACCAGTAGGAAACACATCGCCGCTTCTGGAACTGTCGCGGCGCACCATTGACTACATGGAGCAAATAAGCCCCTATACATAAAGGGTGTCAACAACCAATCATCCCGGATCCTTTAGACCTAGGCCTAGGGGCTTCATCATCTTCCCATTCCGATCTTGACGCTTTGCATGCGTCCTGTTCAAGGGTGGTGGCGTTTGATCAAACCCCAATGATGGAAATCCCATTGTCATCGTGCGGTTTACGCAAGTGTTTCAGATATCATGGAGCGTGTTTGTTTGCCCGTTGTCCAACTGGAGATCCTTTGCCAGCAGTATCTGTGAAATTACTCGCGCACATTCAATTCGCGTTATCTCAATCGATTGAAATGGTTACATTACGCGTGTGGTTAGGCAGGATTTATCTAGAAATGAAGAAAAAAAAAGAACAACAGGGTGCTCACGCAATCCGCAGCACGGTTGATGTTCCGATCCTGGGTTTGGTGCCTCGGGGGGGACGAATGCGTCTTGGCGACAGAGAAGATGATTTCTTTTATTTTTGTTTCGACGTAACGAATTGACTTAACGTAAGTCGAGTAAGGTGCCTGAAAATACATGTGATGGTGAGCCTGGTCTCGACTAAATAAAAGACTATACTTATTATAGAGACAGAGGACGGACACGTAGCGCGGCTAATTTTAGAACACCGTCTGGCTCTCTGGTTCTTTGACGGAGCGAAAAAAAGTGGACTTGCAACGGTCTAAATAGGTCTCATTGGGAGCATCAATCAAACCATCCAATAAGTGACAAGAGGGCCCTGGGATGCCCGGAAGGCCATTGTGTTTTGTTAGTATTCCAGTAATAGTTCTTTTGTTGATGATCCTACTATGTTTGGACGAGTCGAAACACCTGCCTACCTCGGTTTGCTGATCTTTGACTAGTACCCATAAGGCAGTGATCCGTTCCGTCCTATGCGCTCGTACCAACCACGTACGAGTTCTTTCAGGTCCTTCCCACCACCGGTACGCGTTTCAGGGGCAGACAAAGTCAACGTCAACTACATCAGAAGACTGGTGAACCTGAGAATGTCATACAGTCATCCATTACGACGTAAAGGCCCCACAGTAAATGTAACGCACCCCAGAGGACTCCTCGGTTCTCTGATGCGCAGCTCGCACCAAGGCCAGATGGTGGCCCCTGCCAGCATGCACCTCACTCTTCCCAGTCGTAATCAGCACCCCCAATGATGACAATTTTATTCTTGTTGCACTATATCACATCAAGGTGTTAAAAACAGATCTTGATCATGACGATTGCAATGAGGTTTCGGTTCCAGGATCCAGTTTCTGATTGCAGGGGTAAACCTTTTGTAAACGCGAACTTTATGTCGTTAATCACCGCTCTTGCTGGAATGGACTCTAAGAACTCAACGCGGTCATGATGGATGTGACGTCAGGGTGGAGGAGCAACTCGAAAAAAGTCTCGTCCCGATCGTCTGCCTCGGGCCAGGCTCGAGTCAGCTCCACATTCGAGGGTGACCTGAGACTATTAATAAGTGTTGTCCCATGGAAGTAAATTATAGCCGTAGCAAGATACTACAATTAAAACTATCATTAGTATTGTCATTTTTCGATCAGACCCATCTCAGAATGGCCGAACGACCTAGTAGACGCTGAAAGGAATGAGTACTGATAGGTACCCAATAGTAACAAAATACCTGAAAGCATTGACCAGCAAAGCGTACGACTCTGTCAAAGATCATGAGACGACGTGTTCCTGGCTTCCTTTGAATTCTCGTACTTGAAGGTCAAGGTAGAACCTAGGATCGGCGGCAAAACATATTATTCAAAAGGTAATATCTTCGGCTAAAACCAGTCCGACGGCAAAAAGACGCCAGAGGGCGGACTTTCAAATAATATAGGTACGTACTAATCTTATCACTCCCTACAGTACTTGTAATACACTCATTTTGTATGGATACTGCATCTCAGCGCTCAGCTACCGCCTTCCAACAATAGCTATCCGAAGCCTGGGTGGATGACTTCTGCCAAGCACACGGTATACGCCGCGCTGGTGTACCTTTTATTTTCAATGTCCGACGTGCCGTCCGGCGTCTGTTAGCCACGAGTTTCGCCGCCGCTCTCTGCCAGACTTGCCGTAGTGCACGCAGGACTTTTCGGATGGGCAATTTCAGGGTATTCCTATGTCATTGATGTACTCTTGATCATTGCAAGATAAGTACTCGTGAATGTATGTAATGAGCAAGGAGCACGTCATTCCCTATACATCATTGTGCATCAGATGGGGGGGTAAGGGGATGTCAATTGTATCTCTGAAGCGAGTAACCGCTGATCGAGGGATATGAACGGCATGCTCGGCAGTCCAGTCCAATACTTTCTCGAAATCCCTGCATTGGTGGCGAGTGTTGAAGTTAGGGTATGGGATTTTGTGTCCATCAACCCAGTCCCATGTTATCGTCGTCACGTCGGCATTACACATGGTATTCTGCCTGAGCATTTCAATGCAATGATCTGTAATGCATACGATAAGGAGGAAGTGCGTATATAAATAAAAAAAACAATGTACCAAGATGCATGCGGACTACTTCGGGCGTATCCTGGAACGAAGGATCTATGGGCCCGTAATACTGGGGCCACGAGGCTTTACGAAGTAAATTCTACAAAACGTGAGACAAGAACGACTGGACTTTGGGTGCATGTATGATAGTTTACCAGACAGTGGAGTTGGTGAGGGGCTTCCATGGATACCATGAAACCCCCACCAAATTCGGGTGGATATTTGACCTTGGAAGGAGTATCTACTTCGCCGGCTTTGAGAATCTCCTCAAGTGACATCCGAGTTGGTGGTACTGAGGTTTCATGGACGCAAACAATTACTAATTAGGATGGGGTGAAAAAATTGGGCGACGCACCATCATGAGTTATTCTGGCCCAAACGGCATCAATTTCTTGGGAAGGAGGGCCACGATAGACAGAAGGAAAGTCGAGCGTTCCGTTGAATCTTACGATCGTAGATTCAACAGCACCACTTGCTGGAGCTGTGACAAATTATCAATACTATATGTCAACTGTCCGAGGATGTCCGCTCACTCACAGTATACAGGAATGTCGTCATGCAGGTGGGGTGAAGGCGTGCCAATCCATAGCGCGAAAAATAGTATCGATGTGCATAACAACGCGCCATGGCTCACCAGAGGCCACACGCGAAGGCTACTATACAACTTAGGACGAGGTCCTGCACCGAACCTTTCTGCATCATCAAATGATTCCTCCTTATTACCATAGTCAACAGCGTCGACAGGAATGTACTCCGAGGAATCTTTGACCATGACCCTGAGGGAACTTCGATGAACTCGGTGTGTGGATAGTTGAGGATACGCAAGGGCAGATGCGAGAAATATTTAGGATATGTATTAATTTCGATCCTGTCCCCCAATCGGCTGTGTCTCAATGCGTTAAGATATCATACCGCTGGTGCGAGACTCACATGCCCTTAGCGGAGCGCAGGAAGGGGAAGCATAGGCCCGGAATGATCGGAGAAGTAAGAAGCCAGCTGGATTTCAGGAACACTATGGCATACCTGGCTGGCAGTGCGAGAACCGGTGTGGATATATGCAGATGGGAGTGACGCTTTTGTGATGCCAGGTGATCATGATGCCACAACGGTCGTATGTACTGGCAAGTCGGAGATCTCCAGCCTGAGACTGCAGAGAGGCCATTTGGTTTGGATTAATAATTTTCAGAATATGGCCATCACGTGATGTCTGTCCTTAATGTAACCGTGTGAACTATCTATAAAAGCTATTCTCACTCATTGAATATGGCTGCTATACGATATATCATACATCAATATTTCAATGTTTTGATGCTCAGGTAGTTCCATCAGTAAAACCCAAGCACCGGTCTCTATGTACCCAGGGTTACAACTTGCACACGTGTACGGCTTTGTTCCAAGTCCATCCCGAGTGTAAGGCTTGACTCGGAAACCCTACGAACTTCAAGTCCTTTTCTTGCGCCAGCTATGCGTAAGGAATATTCTGCATCGTATTCTCCTGTCGACGATCGTGATGATACGAGACTCCTTGATAGCAATACAGAAACAAGGCCTCTTTCAAAATTCCGCCTTCTCAACTTGTCGCCATGGCTAAGCCATGGTGTGCTGATGTTCATAACAATGATGTTCTTCGTGCTATGGGTACGGGCGCCTTCGATTGATGACGTAGTTCTGTACTGTAGGTGGACGGACAGTCAACTCGCAGCATCCTGCTTACTCGCCATAGCTCCAGTAAATGAGGCCATTGAATCCATCGGTATTATACGACTCAATGGAACTCTGGGCACCCCTTCTATATATCGTGGCACACCATCTCCAGAACTCGACGCTGTTTGGGATAAGATAGCCCTTGATGGTTGCGCCCTATGCTCCACTTACATCATAGATATTTACTGACTATATGATATTTCCCAGCGCGCCCAATCGGTATGACACTTGAGCAACTGCTCAGAACGGGGGAGAAACCTTCTCCTTCCATGACTAGGTATCCGGATGAATATGGTGGAGATTATATGGCAACTGTAGAAGTCATTCACCAGCTCCATTGCATAGTCAGTCGTAATAAAAAAAGGTTGGTCGATCTTTACTCATTCCCTGTAGGACATGCTTCGCAGAGTCAGTTGGGGTGACCATTCCTCGGGTCATGGCGTCCACGAATCCTCCGGAGACTTCCGCATTCATCTCGGTAGGTACGCTGTTTCCTGCGTGGAACAGGTCTGCTTATGCTGCGCCTCAGACCACTGCATCGAAATGCTCAGGCAGAACATTATGTGTCATGCTGACGTGACAATGCTCACTTACGACTGGGTGGAGGGAGTCAAAGATCCGTTCCCTAACTTTAGAATCCCTCACCGATGCAGAAACTTCGAGAAGGTCTTGGATTGGGTTGATGATCATCGTGTTGATGTCCCTAAATCCAAGATAGTCCGCTTGGAGGGTAACGTGGACCTGCCTTCCCCTCCCTGATTGCAGTCCCGATGTCTTCTCACGGCTCTCGCGTAGATCGCGATATGACGAATGTAGCAGAGCCAACATGTTGAAAAGTCGGATGGAAATCTTATCTCTGCAGAATGAATTAATATTGTGATCATTTTGACAGCGCTCCCACAGGTTTCCCGATGTTCCATTAATGTAGCTGCCACGGCACTAGAAATGCCGCATGCGCAGCAACAAGCTCTGAAATGGACTCATCGATGCATCCCCGTTTAAGAGCTGCCGTACGGAAAGTCATATCACTGAGGCATAATAAAAGAACCAAACGGTATCTATACTGTTTGTCTATAGCGTAATATTACTCATATGATGATGACTCAGGAGCCCCGGAGTTTAGCCACGATTTGGGTTTGAACTCGAGATCAGTTGATCAACTTGAACTCTATCCATTCTACTGTATCTGTTACGTGGCTATCCTGAGTTGTTGCAACGTGTTGAGACCGCGGACTTTGCGAGTGTTTGTGATGGAAAATAAACCTCGATCAGTCGGTGATAGCACAGTGACCACCTTGGGGCCACCGGTAGGAACGACGTTGTGGCCTTGCCATGTTATTGAACACAAATTTAAATATGCTATTGGTGAGGAGATGAACTTCAAACTGATACCGTGCTTTAAATAACTGAGTTATTAATAAACTTCAGTTCCGTACTACAAACGACATTCAAGTCATGATGGGGTTCTCCGCAGTCCATCATGACCACTGAAGCGGCGGCGAAATCATGTCATGGTGAGTAATAATTTTATTATAGGCGGTGGAGTTAACTCCCAGTATTTTCAACGCAGAACTTGACCATGGTAACAGTAATTGCGGCGAGGTCGACTGCATCATTCGTCGGATATGTGGCTTGTGTTTTTTTTTTCATTTTGAACGATGCCGTTACACTCATCATCTCCTGCAAAAGAATTCCGGGCTTTCAGCCCCGCTTACGTTTCCTCTCACATGTCAAGCAGTCGTTCAAATCGATCTCCCTAGCTGTGTCGCGTCGCGTGCCCAACTAACTCGAATTCGAGCAATGGGGAATGTGAGTCGTGATCCTGCCAGTGAGAGCTCGCATACTTGCTTTCGGAAAAGGTTCTCGTGGTGCTAAACAACCAGCCCTCAAGCTCTAAGAGCGAAGGTTGTAACGAGTAGCGGACATTTTGTTGATCATCACTTAATCCACCCATGACAGTGTAAAAATTTGGTTACAGCTCTAACTACGCTAACTCGAGGTGAACACTCAAGTTAGAGAACTGTAGACAATTCAACATGCGATGTTGTTGCGAGCACTTGACTTGTAGTTGAGTAAGTAATGGAACCATCGTGTACTCCAATCCATTCCTGTAACACTCCGCGAAAGAGGACGAGAAAATCCGTTCCATCACCCCAAGCCAACTGACCACTCCGACGGCAGACTGATAGGGGCAAACCTCATTGATAAAGGCATTCGCGACTTCAGAGATCAGAAGTCCAGAAAGTGTTGTCAATGGACACAAATCGGAAATCAAGTAACCAAGCAATTGAGTCGAATGGACCCAACGATGTGAAATTGTGAACGAACGACGTGACTTGTGGGCGAAACAATTAGTGGCCACCTAGAAAGGTTCAAGGTTTAATGGATGACTCCGACGAAAAAAAACCGAGACAAGCAGGTATAATTTACCTATATAGAACGTCAAGGGCACGTGCAGTAATCGAAGTAATTGAAGTCATTAGCATCAAGTTCCTCGCGCTTCTCAGCATTTGGCAGCAGGTCGCGCTGCTCCGTATCTGGTAGCAGGTCAACCTCCAGATATTCTATGGGGTTGTTGGCAGTCATGGACACTCACAGGACCGTTTCGCGATAGCTTCTTGCATGGGGTGTGCGGCTGTAGCAAGAGTCATAATAGATGCGAGCCCACTGAGGACAAAAGAAAGCTTCATGTTGGAGACTTGGAGTTAAGGAGAGTATACACTATAATTGAATGGTCAAGAAGGATTTTGTAGGGCCATTTCGTAGATCCGCTCGCAGGCAGAGTCATCTGACCTTGCTGGAGAATGAGAGCATCATGTATGTGTTACGACAGTCGTGATAAAGTTACCACCCAGTCCACATGGTCACTACACTAATAATGCGCAGCAATACCTTATTCCATTCGTAGTTTCACAAGGGAGGGCGGTAATTGATTGTTAAATTGACCCTCGATGTTCTGAGTTTCAAAAACCATTTAATACGTACGCACAATCGAGACAACGAGAAGCTCACCGACGGCGACGAGGCAAGGTCTCCCTCCAAATCGAATCAGCGCATCTGCATCTGGGCCCTCCGACGCGAGAAAGTTACGATAGGTGAAGCACACCAACCTGCATTTTGCATTCGAATACAATGATCTAGTTCATTGATTCGGGAACTGCCGCAGTACAAGCACCGCCAGCTGCTAAAAATACATACCACTAGAATCTGGGAAAATCTAGGCTTACTGAGCCTTACTCCCTAGCTAGAAGCCTAATGGTGATGAACTGGAAGCTGCGGTAAGCCATCTGGGTTTTTCAGGTCCCCAGATTTTTCAAGGAATTTTGCGAAGAAGGGACGTGTCGTTTTCGACAAAAGCACGTTCTCGCCGTGTCTCACGTGCACCGTCAAATTTGAAATCTGTCCTCGAATTTCAAAAACCACCGGAATCAATCTATTTGTGTTTTGTTCGTCAACAGAAATCACTTTTTGGCTGAGATTCGAGGATGATGTACCTGAACATTGTGGCTCATGCACCGATTCTCGGACTTTGATTGGCATTCCGTGGTGTGTAGTTTGCAAAGAACGACGATATCTTGAACAGGATTCACATGCAAATAAACATTCTGATGTTACTGTTCAGCGCTATAACACACAGCTTTGTCTGCTCGTGAGCGTGCGTCGACGGCGTAAGAGTGTGGCTTACACCCTCCTAACCTCCGAAAGATCGAACATGGTGGGATGTCGTCGAAAGCAGGAAGAACGAGGTGTTGGAAACCGCGGCCGCGAGGACGCTGATCGAAAATACGATCTATCTTCCATTCTTCTACTGTCTTGGGTAGCGGCGGGACCAGGTCACGGCAGTTCTCGGGAGAGGGACAGTGTCGTGCCGTCTGGGGCGTAGTACTTGAAGTGTAGATACATAAAACAAAGGGTGAATGTTGATGGGTGATAGGATCAAGCGTGTATGAAGATGACTCAGAATGGGCAGAAGGAATTTTGGAAGTCTCGTCATAAACTTGGCTTCCCCTTTGGTTTGGCCGTTGTGATATTCGTATCGACGATGAGAGGCGGAGAGGTATATAAAATCACAAACACTGAAGTCAGGGTTCGGAATCACTGTATGAAGTGACAGAATGCGCCTACGCAACCTTGTATGTCAGCAATGCATCGTGAGCGTCTGAAACATCAGTCGGAAGAGCAAACGAGCTTAACATACGCATCAAACTCAGTGTGCAAGTTAATGATATGACACGGTCTGCAAAGATAGCGTCCACTGTCCGAGATGGGGATTGAAATGAGAGTAGCCGACTGATGTCATTCACGGAAGACATATGATTACAGCGTACTAGAGGTAATGCGCAACTGCCTGGAGCGTCTTCGTATGAGGATTGTCGCGTATTGCGAGTATCAACTATAGGTCCGCGTGCCTGAAAAACTTGCACATCAACGCCATGACCAAGAGGTACGACGGAGAGAATTCGCAAGTCAAGAGGAACGTGACCAGGAACTCCTATCGTACATATGTAAAGCTGGAGGGTCATGCGAATGGCTTCAGAAATTATAAACATTGCAATAAAAAATCAACTCATTGGGTTGAATGTGGGCGATGAAGTGGGTAAGTGACGATGAAAACTGAATGATAACGGAAGGACAGGACTGATGCACGCAGAATTGCTAGCATTTCTGCTCCCTGGCATGTAGACTCCTACGATGATGCACTCTTACTGGGGTGGTTTGCTTGCCAATCAGTATGTTCTTTCTGGTAGGCTTCCACATAGGGCTAAAATGACATATCGTTAGTCATTAAAGAATGATTATTAGTCGGGTTCACTTACAGCCTTGTCAGAGGCACTCATTGCCCTCCACCGTACACCGGCCTCACGAGCAACATTGACGGCTCCTCTACCTGTGGCAGTGACTCCAGCTTCTTGGATAGTTCTACCATCATCTGATTGACGGAAATGTTCTATGAATCTGTGTGAACCGTTCCTTGTGGTCAGTCCGCATATTTTCACCGCAGTACATAAAACTGACCTAAAGAAAGGCCCCTTAGGGCGCTTATAGTGATTCTCTTGGTGAGGTCGGTGAATCTTGTTTCTCCCATCATGTTTACGACGCGCATTGATTTCCCTGAGGGTTTTAGGAGAGGCGCTCTTCCAATATTCATCTAGCTTCTCTTCATACTGCTTCTTCAAGACTTCAACCTCGTTGTAGTAAGGCTTTGAGGAGCGATTTTAGCATGTCACATTGTAGATATGGCGATGTAAATGACCTGTTTCTCCGCAAGGGTAAAGCCATTCCACATAGTTGCGGCTTCCTTTGCCAAATCCTGGGTGTCCGTAGCAGTCTTAATATCACTCCTACGGTCTTGGACGAGCCTCGAGAAAAAAAGCAGATAGCCGTTAGGGGGACGCGAAGGAGGCTGCTCAGATTTGGGCACCCTCTTGGGTGCTATAGCGAGCGACACATATAAACATGCACATGACTAAAAGCTCAGCCAATGGTTCCACTCACGGGGCCGCTCGACCGTCTTCTTGGATGTTGCTGTTGACTTTGGTTTGGACTTTGCTTCCTTGGTGGCTTTCGCCTTCTTTGGAGCAGCTTTTGTGGTTGTGGTTTTCTTTGTGGTTTTCTTCGTGGTTTTCTTCGGTGTAGTTGATGCGCTTTTGGATGCAGCGGCCGGCAGCTGTATACGGCGCGTAGTGAAGAATGTACGACGCGTCGCAACGAATGCGGACGCGGTCAACACCGACGAAGACAAAACATTGGTGCGCAGCACGGGAAGATGGGATGCGATA